AATTTCTTTCGCTCATATGTTAACTTCTTTACGAAAGATTCAGGTACAACAAGAACAGATCGTCTGGACAGATGGCAGAGCTCCCTTCGTAGAAACACTTTACAACATAATCCGTTCTCAAACGTGACTCTATAATTCTATCGGTGACGAGGCACGAGACAGCTTCCCTTTAGGCGCAGACTTGGCCGTCCAAAGCAACGTGACAACGATATCCACCTTCTGTAATATTACACTAATGTATAATATTATATTCTATTGCCATTTCGCTTGCATCCGCACTAAAACCTCTACCTGTATATACGAAATCGTTGGGTAAACCAGCCGGGCTGATAGGATCAGATTGCTTTTCCAGCGGGCGCGGAAAATGGATTAACCCTCGGCGCTTAGCGAACGTAACGAATCACCCACATTGGCAGATCATCTGTTTGCGTCGCCATATCGAAGTGGTGCCTCGAGGTACGGTAACGGCCGCTAATAATTATTGCCATCTTAATCTTCATCATCGGAACGCGGGTCGCCGTAATGATATAGTCGACCGAAAAAATTAAACCGTGCGTCGATTAGAGAAAAGTCCAGATTGCAGAGCTTCTTGGAGGCAACCTTTTGACTCAAGGCTATCAGGATGACGGCGCAGCTAAAGCTAGAATCTTTCCATACACAGAAACCAAAATCGTTTTCACGCTGACAGATAGAACAAATATTAGGTACGCAGGCTGGCGAAAGGGGTACTATAAAGTTTGAACATGCCCAGAACTGGACACGTGGACAAAGGAAAAGGCGACAAAAGGCAGCAGAAGCGTAGTGCGTGAGGTTTACATTTCTGCGGGAACGGTGGCAATGCAAATGCCAAACAAATGCCCTCTATGGCAGATACAATCTATGGACGAATTCAGCCATTCGAGACGGTAGGGCTGCGGATGGAAAGATACCGCTGCGAGGGCGGTCTTGAGATGGCAGAAACAGCGGAGAACAGACTCGCCTGCCGCTGATGCCGTTTTGGGCGCGGCTGTTGTGAGCCCCCTATCGTCGCTGTCGCCGTTGCATGGAATCGCATCGATCAACTATATGCTGCTTGCCCATAGAGTATAAGGATGCTACTGTGTGGGGTTGCGCCAACAGAGCCAGATGGCCATTAGAAAGATAGCAGTGTTACGCTCGCTACTACTGGCTCGGATACTGCTGACTATGATGATCGTGACTAATGCTCATAATAATGATGATTCAATCGATACGAAATGTGATACTGATGTTTTTAGCTAAGGCGGCCTAACATTTAATGAGACCACGCACGATTGAGCTGTATTTATAGAATATGTAAGATTTATAAATAATATATATAAGATAATAAGTTTATAAGAACCAACAGCACATAGGGGTCACAAAGAATAACTAGGAGAGCAATAGAGCTTTCGGTCGAAAGGAAGGGCGCAGAACAAATGGTGGCGTTATGCAGTCATCAATTTGAACGCGTTCATCAGGAATGACATGCGAGGGGCTTTTTGTCTGGCTCTGTACCTATGTCCTATGTGTATTTATGTGCGCACATTTACATTGTTTGTTCGTATTTGAGCATATCATGTACGTTATCGCTGTGTGAGTGTGTGCGGGTATATGTGCTGTATCAGTAACGCATGGAAGTTCTGTTTTTCCTGTGCGTTTTTAGACTCGAGTATAGGAAATCGTCTACTCTTAAGTTTAATAGGCAAAAAGTTCATTTCGGTGTTCGACATCTATTTGATGACTGAAAACTTGAGACTCGCGCATGGAAACGCGCGTGTGCTTGTCTAAGAACGCCGATAAGCGTTCTAATGTTTATCTTAGCTAACGATTAAAATGTCTGGAGTCACAATAACTTACTCAATCAAACGTGCAAGTTAGTCATTGTGCGGACCTACATCAGAAACAATTTTGCACACTTATTACCTTCATACAATACCGTGAATATATCGGTATTAGAAAACATCTAAGAGTGCATCTAAGGCTAACGTGAATGCCACAGTATCGATAAAAATATTCCAATTCTATATAGGTCTCGACTTTTGACCTACTATAACAAACCGGGATTTTTTGCTTTTGTGATCTTTATTCTTAAACGGTCTTCTGCGGAAATTCAATGTATCCGTCAGTGCATACATACGAGTACTCTTCCTGGCCTGTGTGTGTTTGATGCCCCATGCTAGGCTTGTAAAAAGAAAGACTATCTGATTCATAGCTTTTTTCATTTAAGAGAACTCGACAATTCTCTTGCATAGTTTGGGCCTTTTATTCCATGCTACACTGTACAGAGACACGGATCATAAAAAAATATATATTCTATATATATAAAAAATATAAGGTATATATATATATATACTCCATACTTTATATTAAAGTCCCACAGCATGGAGCTGCATGGGCTGTTGGTAAATTCCTATGAAGAAATCTAAGGGGAAAATGCTTTTCATATTATAAGGGGCTTTGATTATAGCTAGGAATGGCAAAACTTTCTACTTCACTGCTTAGTCAAGCAAATAAAACATTGTTATTTGTCTACCATATGGCCGCAAAAAATTCTGTTGCGTAGTGCCGACCCGGCTTTCCAATAGCTCGGTCACCGGCATACCGACGAGTTGGGCTTTGTTTGAGAGGCGAGGAGAGCCAGTAATCATTTACGCATTGTTCTTTAAACGTATAAATTTGACTATACTGAAACCCGCAGAGTTATCGTAGTGGTGCATTTTTCTAGCATAAGAAATTATTCACAGTTAAGTTTTGTCTATGACTGTGATAATTCGAAATATAATGAATATATATATATATATACAATAGGAAAACATATACGTGTATATATACACGTATATGTATTTCTACTGAGCATACGTGTGCTCTTAGGTTTTCAGTTTTTTCGGAAAGTTAGTACCCATCCGGTTTCGAAACGCAACATCCCATATGTTATACAACTTTTTTACTGGGACATACTTATAGTTTTACCTGCCGGTGCCATAAGGTACCAATTTCAACGGTTCATTACAAATTGTTTCGATCTTGATATTATGGTATTTGCGACCTTAGGTATTATATTATGATTCTTTTTTTGGTTAGGTGGAAATCATTAATAAATAAGCATCATATTCTTATTCATATCGGGGGCCCTTATGAGATCTACGTTGCGAGGTTGCCCCCAGAGGCCAGTGTTACGTTTTTGCTATCATCTACATTAATGTCGCTCCGCAAAATCTCCATTACACATGTGATATGCATTTTCTATGATTGTATACTACAAGCTAGAAATTTATCTATATTATTATGTATTTTACGACCTATAACGATGGGTGGGGTCGGTAAGGTTTTAGGATCCAGTACCTTATACTTCGAGTCAACGTAAAATCTTATTATTATCGTAATTATCGGGAATGCATTTTCCGAACACTGCGCTTTTAAGAGATTACCATTGCTCTTGCTGTGGTACTTACATAAAATACTTATATTGTTATTAAAAATTGTGACAATTTTTTAACACTATTTTATTCATTACTGGGTGTCGTCCAGTAGATACTAATCGATTAGGGAAAAAAATCGGTCGGTGCAAGGTCTGGACGCTGCGGTAAAACCTGTCATTGGTGTCTTCCGACCGTTACCTTGCATTGTTATGAAGCAAAACATAACTTCGCTTGTCGAGCGTAGAAAGCGATTTTGAACGAATCAAGCCTTTAAAATCCTACCAAAGGCAAAAAACAGTTCTTTCTAGATGAAGGTCTGGTTGAGGCCAGGAGCCTGGCTTTTTTCGCAGGGCCTTACCCATTCCTATCTCTACTTCATATACAGATACCATTTTTCGTCATCAGTGACGAATTAGTTATTATGGCCGCGTGATGCTTGATACCAGATGGCGAAATGTTCAGGTATAGCGTTAAGCCGTAAATTTTCTGAATTTACCCAAGCTCCGGGTTTCTGTGTGAATTCACAGAACCAAAGTAATCTGCCCTGAACCGGACCCCATCCTTTCGGCAAATCTCCGGGTTGTTTATTGACCCTTTTACTTCAAAGATGCCTTTAGAAGGTCGTCATCGAACCCAGACAGTTGGTCAAAGCAAAAAACATCCTCTAGGTCCTGCTCACTGTTTTCAAATTTGACAAACCACTCTTAAGCAGCCTCGTTAGCGACAGTGCCATTACCATGTACAAGGCAAATGCCCCAGGCTCTTTTGGCCTCGACAAAATGCAAAAGGTGAAAAAATGTACATTTTGCTGCTTGAAACATCGATCCTTGACAAGATATTTCACAGCACAGTATTATTATAGCAGGCTACCAAGGTAGCAAGAGAACTTTGGAACGGTAGGGCAGAAGTTTTTTTTTTCTCAAAAAAAAGCGCAAAAACTTTTCCAATCTAATAGAAAAGAAAATGGTGACTTAAAGTGATGCCTTTGAAGATACATCTTACTTCAAGGGATACCCAAAGAGATGTCGATTTTTTGACAAGTTCAAGCTAAATCTACCTGACCCCCTTTCGGTTTATTTATTAGACTGAATGAAATCTAAAAGCGAGCTATATAAACAAGCTGATCATGCAAGTATATTGCTGTTCCCTCTAAATGTTATTTGGGTGCTCAGTATATAGCTTTAGAATCTGTAGAGTTTTAGAGGTACAGAACTACACGTAACTGACTTCCAATGACGCTGAACGGCCTCAGCATTAATATTGCATGAGACGCTTCTAAGTGATATGGTCAAACATTGGGTCCTACTTTGCACCTGATTTTGCATTGCATTGCTTCCAATGCAATGCAAAATCAGGTGCATCTACGCTCGGTCCCGAACCAAAAAGATACGCCTTCTTGTATTTAGTAAAAAATACGTCAAAAAAACATACATAAGCATCATTACTATTATTGTTATCGTTATAACCATCTTGCACTTCTATGATTTCGGCACTGCTTTAACACCACTGTCGGCATATAGTATAACCTAAATTGTTCGCTGTGGACCTCTGTGCTTGTCCCACTTCTTCTGTACATTTCAGAAGCAGCGTATGAAAAGACCATGTACTTAGCGGTACGGTATGTCTCGATCGGCTTCCGCAGCTTCAAGCGGTTTTCGTTGAGTGCTTCGCGCTGAAGACCGTGGACCTTCGGCCGACTCGGAAGAGATGAAGCGCCACCGGTACTCCGGCAGCCGACGCGCCCACAAAGGCGGTGGATAGTCGCGGCGCCCAGAGCCGCAGAGGCATTATGTCACAAGCACACGAACACAGGAGCATAACCGCGAAACCATAATCGTTTTTTCTTAATGTTATCAGTATTATTGCTACAAGAAAAAAGTACATTTATATAGATGCACCGATTTACAGTGTTCTATAATATTCTTATGACTCGATGTATTCCCACGCTAACTATAAGCCTACTACCATGCGGCTAATGGCAGTGCGGGAATTAGCGAAGCATAATGTAATATAACACGCATAAAAAAAAAACAAACTTACGCAGCCATTAGTGCTGTTTGAACGGGACGAAATCTGATTTAAGTAGCCGTTTGTCGACCGACACTAGTCAGCATCAATGTTATCGCCTCACGATCGACAGTCGGTGCGCGGCAGGATATGTTCTACACAGGCTCTGAAGACTGATCGGGTGTAGTTGACCAGACTCTAGAGGGACGACAGAGCGCGCCGGAGGATCGCTACTATTCTTACGAGCGAAGCCGGAACTATACTTGCAGCAACGTATTAAACGAATCAATGCGACAAGGCCACATTCAGCATGATGGGTAACGGGCGAAACTAATCACAGCGGAAAAAGTCAATGCACAACAACTTATCGAACGACATCCTGGTCTGAGAGGGGCGTCTGAGTATTGAAACATGGCGAAACTGCACACGGACGTTTCGTTCCCCCATTAAAAGCTAGGAGAATGATAACGCGAGAGATCAACATCGAAAAGAGTGATGTTAAATTAATGACAGCACTTGCATTAAACGTACACCGCTACCTGCACTACAAGCTCGTGAAAAATTTCAACGAAGCAACAAGAGCAACGAAAACGATTTTTAAACGAAATCGTAGAGCAGAACAGATTTTGAGAGGGAAAACCTGACCTGCAGAAGATATCACAGACCGAGATTGTTTCATACAGAAGTGCAAGACGAAGCCCTCGAAAGAAACCAAACGAGATCTGCAATTCAGCAACGGCTAGGGACCGACAGAACATCTACAGAATTGGCATTATTTCTAGGAATAAATAGGAAGGTTTTTTGTACTTATTGAACACCCACAACTATCTGTTCATTGGTCAATGGCAAGCGTGTTACTACGCTATTATTATTATTATTATTAATACTATGGGAACATTTCAATGATTTTCATCATTCACGAAACCAAACTCGAGCAGCTTGCCCCGAGCGTGCGCACCGACTTTGAGTAAGAACACCATCCACGGCCAGCTGCGAATAACAGCATCTGCAAATGTAATAACGACGCCGTCGCCAACAACAAAAAGGTATCAGTACACAAATCGAGGAGGAAATCAAAAAGGAGGCAACAATAGCTGCAACAACAATAACTACAACAACACGATATTTGGTTAAAGATATTTGGATAAAGGGTGAGAAAGTCAACAATTTAAAACAAACTTATCACAAGTCGAATATCGTTGACGCCAACCGAAACCACAGTATTCCAAGCACAGTTCTATCAATTAAGCCAACGTTGACCATCAATAGCATCACACCAAGAACGAATACGGCACTTTATCATAACAATACGAGCAACAAGGCCGACAACCGAAAAGGACCAAACATCGAGACGACGTCCGGCGATCGTTACATTTGTCCCATTTTCCTCAAATACGAGGAACAACTTTGGCCCACAGAAAGGGTATAGCGCACAGCGCACACTCCCCTATCACTGCCGTCATTATCAGTCGATAAAAATATACCTATACCAGCACTCGCCCATAGTAACGGGCATCCTAAGTGCGAGGTCGTTCCAATCCCGATCGGGGACCTGACTTGATGACGTCACCGGGGCCATTGAATCCGCCAGCAAGCTCAAGGCCGGCAGCTTCAAACAATGCCGGTGGACGGAATCATTCACCTGGAATTGTGGCGGCCGCAACCGTGGAAGGCCACAGCCAAACTACAGGCAATGTAGGCCATCCGGCACAGTCCCTCGCACGCCAGAATAGCACGAACCACAGCAGCATAACACAGCAGCAGCAGCAGCAGGTGCAGGCGCAACAGCATCATAACCATCAGCCACCTTTGAGCCGGCCCCTCAGCCCGTGCAAGGACTCAGTGTCCTCTTTGCTCGAGCAACCGATCATCTCAGCGCCCAGCCAGACCTCCCTCAACTCATGCAGCTTGCAAGCAGCAAACTCCCTCGGCCAGCAGCAGCAGCACAACCTAAATAATTCTTTAAGTAGTCCCGTAGAGCATTCGACTTTAGCGTCAATCTGTTCGCTTTCGAGCACCATCGTCACGCCGACTTCAGCCCTGTCTTCCCTGTCCTCTGCCAACCGCAAGTTCGTCCTCAGCTCCTCGGATAACCTTGTGCTACAACAACAACAGCTGCAGCAACAGCCATCTGAGATAGCCGGCACCTCGACCCATTTTGCCGGCACTGCTGCAACACGTAGTGGTGACCATAAGCGTCGCCGTGAAATCTTCACTCTCACATCAAAATCGTCACGGTCAGTTGACGCCGAGGTAGATCACCGGCCTAGCGTGCCGGTGGCGCCGGGAGCAAAGGGCGACTCCACAAGCGTAGATCACCTGCTCTTCAACACAGCAACGTGCAACAGAAATCTCGTGGAGTTGAGTTCACAGCAGCCCAGCCAGGGCGGTATCGGCTTATCAGGCCAGCAACCGGAATCACTCCGGGCTGGCAGTCTTCAGGGCCTTCAGAAGACGTCGACCTGTAGTATTCAGGCAGGCAGTTACGGCCAACTCGATATGGCCGTTTCTTCGCGTTTCGGAAGCGTCAACGGAGCAGACTCCCCCCTGGCCTACCCACCCGCGCCGGCCGCGCAGTGGAGGTCCGGGGACTTACACTCGGAAGGCCCCAGTTCCTTGGGTTCTCCGGGTAACTTGAGCCAGCATCGGTCGCATCGCGCGTCGCTGAGCTCCGTCGCGCCCCTTGGAACACTGCGACCTGTCCCTATAGAGACAGATGCCGAGGCTCCCAATAGTACCAACCTCAAAATAAACAACGATAACAACACCCTCAACACTGGCCACCGTCAGCAACAAACTGAGCAATCAAAAGAGCAGAATGCGCAAGCACAGTGTCAGCACCGTCATAACGCGCAACAGGAATGTGAAGACTGTGTTGACAGCTGTCATACAACGTCCGTGACAATAAATCAAATACAACAGGACATTCATGACAGTACCACAGTGACAGAAAATAACGATAGTATCAACAACAACCAACAACAACAGCAACAGCTATCTACAAGTGCCAACATCAACAACAACAACAACATTAACCATTTCAACAATTGTGCAGACAGTCACAGCCAGAACAACAGCTGTTCCGCGACCTCCATCATTACCCCTAGCCGACAGCGCCATGAAGGGAATAGCGTACGTTTCTGGTAAGTGCACATTATTCATAGAACGTCTTTTTTTTCCACGTACGCGTCTCTCTTTTAATGTAATGTTTACAGGTAAATATGTGACCGGCTATCTGTACTTCGCAGTTCGGCACGGAACTCGATAGCGTTCACAGACGACATTATAATAAGCATAGGGAAGATACTGTAACAATAGATGAGCTAACGGCAATGAGAATAAGTTGAAAAGCTGCCAAGACAGGGGGCCAGCGTCAATTGTTCGTAATTGGTTTTGTTTAGCATGCTACGTTGACTACACTGGCTTTGATGACCGCATCCATGGCTAATAGTATGTAGGAATCGTTCTGTGCACCCAAATTACTCTGCTAAAAGATAATTCAAGGGTTCTCGGATGAGGTTCTAGTATGAGTAATTTTTTCACATTGGTTTCCATACGATTATCGGACGCAGTCTTTAATTAACCTATCCTCGACCTGCACCCGATCATTATAAGGTAACAAGCTTGACGCATTACTTCAAACAACGATTTTAAGGGTATAACGAGTCAACACGAGTTAGCATATATGAAACGGTTAGGTCGTGCCTGTTATAAGTGATGATTTCCGCATATAACGCTAAGGCTGCAAGAACAAAATGGTTCATATGACAAGCTCCTTGGCGTACATAACTTTTTTGAAGAGAACGTTAAGTAAGAATATGGTCCAAATTTTTCGTTATGACATGTACAGATTGCTGTCCTATAAACTGTACAAAATGAGGTCATCTTCAAAAAATCAATGACAGATGATTTTCACACTCACTCCGCTGATACATTGATTAGACCTTGTTTGCGATCGCTATGATCTTAAGAGCAATCAGTCGTGCGATTTTGAAGTACAGCCCCTTCCCCCTTGAGTGATTATGTATAATAATAACACTGTAATTATGGATCTTAAGACTCTCAGGGACGACCTTGTCGTCCACGGACTATCCACATGAGATTGTCTGTCTAAGCATTTTAAACGACAGGCCTAATTTGATGGCCCTTCGATGCACTGCTGTGTCACCAAGAAAGCGTTACTAATACGGCCGAGTAATGTAATGGTTACACATTTTTTGCAAAAATCAGGGGTCTTAAGGTGCTCACAGACTAGACTTGGTATCTTGCAATAAGAGGAAACCTATTTAGTCAATATACAGCATTTATTTGTTTCTCTCGCCGAACTGCAACTAGTCGAATTGTAAATCATCAACTTAGACAGAAAGCTTTGTTTCTCGGTGCTCTTGTCGACCTAATGGACTCGACTGAGTGACTACGCGACGAGCGACATTAGCAAGGACGACTGATAGCGCGTGGTAGCGGCGGCTTTACGGTCGAAGTTAGCGCTCCTAGGTTAGCTGAAAACGAACCACTAACTCGACTAGTATATAGACTATTATAACGTAACAAGCTAATAATAAATCATTTTAGTCTCGTTCATTGTATAGTACGTGAACTAGGTGTTCTGTTCGCACGAGCTCCTTCACATAAAATCATAAACTCATATACGCGGGTTAGTTCTTCCACAAGAGGTCACTTTTCAATCGCAAGTGCGGTGAGAGAGGTGTTCTAAAAACGAAAGCCCAATTCGTCGACGATCTCAAGTCCTGAACGTCACCAATCTATAATGAAGGCACGATGGAACACATTGGAGTCTGTAGGTGTGTCAATGACACTATGACCTATAGCGGTGTAGTTGTGCCACCGTTGCTTGCTCCTCGATCCTCTGTCCAAATCTATTTATCATCCTATCAAGACTTTTTTCGAGCCAGACCGTGCAAGTCTTATATCATTGCAGCACGTGGCCCACTTTGAGGTTTTAGATAGACTTGGCCTATTTGAAGTCTTCAGTCATAGCCACGTTTGGTATCTTCCCCGGCCCGATATCGGACATGTTCTGTTTGAAGGAAGCATTAGACAATGGCGATCGCAGTGTCTGCAGATAGAAAAACAGCATAGCGCACCAGGCCTGATATGTGCTAATGAGAGTCCATGATTGAACTTCGAAGATATGTACTTGCATATATGGGGTACGTAATCCAAGAGTAGAACTCCACCAAAGTAAGTTCAGTTAGTTTTCTCACACTGATTATTCGATTAATGTTAGCGGTAAATGCTACACGTCTTGGGCTACAAACAGCACGATATGATTGAAGTAACTAGAAGTTGATAGCTAGCAAGCTCCTTATCGATTTTCTTAGCACAGTCTGAACTGTCTGAAGGACTGTATCCGAAACGGGTGACGCCCCCCCGCCCCCGATAATTTCAGACAGTGATGATATCACTTCATTTTTGGCAGGGCATTCCCTCCAAAAGACCTAAACGTGTTAGGCGTCTAGTTGGACTTATAGGATGTGTATTCAGAAGATTGTCTCTCGCTATCTTAGCCGTCTTATTTAAACCGAACCGCTATAGAACATTATCAAAGCAACAGCTTACGCTTGCTGTCGAAAATTGTATCGAAAACCATGGCATCTATAGAAGCTACGCGGGTGTTCGACGCGTCCAGAAAGCGCTAGAATAGATCAAAATATGATTTGTTATACTGACGCTATTCAAGGTAGCAATCTGCTAAATATGTAGCCCAGTTGAGCGGGGCCAGCGTAGCAGAAGGTGACAGTTATGGCCGAAAGACTCTTTTTACTCTGACATCTTTCCCACGGGACCCACAGACGTTCAGCGTGCGCTGAAATTCTTGGAGGTTGTGAAAAGTGCCCATCAAGACTGCGACGGCCAAGCAGATTCTACTGCTTTAACGCTTTGACATACTGGGCGTGTTCATGTTTTTCTATTAGGGATTTGGAACCCGCTAAGGATAGCCTCAATCTGTTAGATGATAAATACAGGTGAGCGCTTCTTAGAGAGTTCGATGTAAAAGGTAGTTCGATTTTGTTGCGTTGCATTTTTCGTACCCTCAGTTTGAATAAAAAAATATTATTTTTAGTCGATTAAAAAGTTCTGTGGTAAACATCAATAGCTTTGGAGCTTTTAAGAAACGGTAATATAGTACTTCAAGTGTGCCTGGTAATAACTGACTGCCCTGTGTGTCAGCGAAAGCATCTTAATTGATACGCCTTTTTAGCGGTTCCAGTGATGCAGCCTATGTCCTACAATAATAAATTGAATTTGAGCTAGATTATTAATCGTAAAAAGTATAGGTATCGTGACTTCAGTTTGATCAGAAGGTAGTAGATCGGACATCATGCTAAACATGTAGATATGATTACATAATAGCAATTCATCCTTTACTAAAATATTGGAATGAATTAACTAACAGCTGGACTAGCTCACTTATTTTACGTACCTTATTTTTCGAATTTTGCCGAACCCAGTATCGCTCTGGGTTTATGCGTACCCATCTCTGTAGTCTTCGCACGTACAGTTTATAAAAGGCAGATTCTGGAATTGTGACGTAAAAACACGAATTAGTAGAACTGGAAAGTATTCTTTATATGAAAAAACAGCTAATGGCGGGACATACAGTTACACAAATCACAACTGCAAAAAAATTAACAAAAATCATTTAAATTACGCATTCGTACGGATTCGTTTTGGGCAGTACGACCCGTCATTATTGTTAAACTGTGATAAATAACTCTTGCTAGTAGTAATAAAAAAAAAACAATGTAATAAACAATAAACAGAAAATATATCGTAGAAGCTATGACGGTCACAAGAGGTTCTGTACAATGATGCTTCACTGCGGCATCGACTACATCCTATTGATTTGTTGAAATACACTGCGCAATGTACGGCAAATTCAGGGGACGTCCTGTTATTGGGCCTTCTTTATATCGAGGAACACTGAAACCTGTTCCGGCCATTTTGAGGAGAATTAATTAACGGCCACAATTTCAAGGAATTCCGAAATTCGAGTTATACTTGACATTCGGTAAAACCCTTTCGAACAACGCCATATAATGGCTACAAAAGCCGCTGCGATAAAGAACTGCTCAGGAGCAAACATTGTCGGCGGAATATATTGTAGCGTTAGGCTGTACCTATTCTCAAGTTCATGAAGTTTTTCACACACGCAAGTTTGAAAAAAATCCACACCGCTTGGCTGCCCCGTTGCCTGTGCAGCAGTGGAATCCACCGGCTGCCGGTTGAATAGAGCCGCCTTCAAACTATCATGTATGACGGTCGCTTCGTCAGCAACACTGTTGCCAACGACAAGTAACAAAAACCATTTAGTAACTTTCATATATTTACGTTAATACGTTCTTTCAAGGTGTTGGTGCCTTTTCGATGGTGTAGCTTATTTCTATTGAAACGTCCTGCGCTTGTTTAGCACAGCCATTTGTCTTTAAACAAATGTATAACTTTAAGAGAAAAAAAAAGTTGCTGGATTATTGAAACTATTTCATCAGTGAGCTAGTTTAGAAGCCCTGTAAACGAGTCAGATCGGACTTCGCAGAGCTGCGACACCTTGAGTAGCTTAGCCGGTGCGGCCTAAATCACAACAGCGTTCAAATTCGAATACGCAGAATGATTTAGAGGTAAGTTTCCTGATAGCTAACTCGAACTTTAATAATGTGCTGTCGGAACTGATAAGAAACGGGAAGTTGCTCAGGTTGACAGCAGAGACTGCTCCGTCACGTTGGAGTCTTTATTAATTCAGCTCGTTTTCGGTAGTGAATGAGGCATAAGCGTGTGCCTTCCGTGTTAGCTATGTGAGCTGGTCTGAGCAAACGCCATTTTAGTTTTTTTCAGATTAAAGTAGCTTATGAACATAATGATACAGTCGACTCTAACAAGCTTAGTTCATATGTTATTTTTATTAAGAAGCGAGTAGAGTAAGCTCAAATATAATAAGTAAATCAGGCCAATAGGGAGGTCTGGGATGTTCGAGCTGTTGAGCGTATCGATCTATCACACAAGAATAGGTTTCTAAATGCCCTAAACTAAATGCCCTGCTAGGACTCGTAGTATAACACCAATCCCCTGTCTCCAATAATAGCACAAGTAAATATAATGCCACCGGGTATCTGCATATAGTCATCGAAGCCACTAGAGGCCGTTGTCTTGATAAGGAATGTGTGTCATTTTCTATTTGTACCAAGGGAGAACCATTGTTTGCTTTAAAGATTTTATTGCTCTTCATGTATGGTCTGGTATACATCTTCACCACTGTACGAGACAGTGACCCACCTGGCTTGTGCGTTACGTGTTACTTCAGCCCATCTTATTCCTTGGTCAGTCTAACCTCACTGATTTATTCATTTCTAATTTAGGCAGCCCCACGTCGTCAATAAGGCCCGTGTAAAGAAGTTCCATAGATACTAATTACTCTTAACTCATTGTCAAACAAAATCTAATCAAGTACTGGAATAGGTTAGCTGCTTTGTAGTAATACAACTACTCGTTGAAGGTATCTCGTAAATTTGTTAAGTCCTAGCAATGCGTTTGAAGCTTGGAAGTCGGCCATATCTCTAAATAGTCCAGAGAGGCTAACGTTTTGAAGGAGGGATAGCCGAATTGTGATGTTGCTTACTTTATTTAAATTGGTTTTTTGTCTTGGAAAAAACTGACCTCGTGATTAAGATAGGAACCAGAAGCTCAATGCTACCTACAGTAAACATTGATTACTGTTACGGTATAAGGGAATGATTTTTATCTTATTTGCCCTGTATTTGGTTATCGAAAAACTCAGTAATTGAACAGGTTTTAACATATCTCTAACCAGATAAAAACGTGCCTGAGTAATTACTGCGGCTCAAGCGATGTCAGCTAGTTTCTCTTCAACGGACTAATTGTAAGAGGCGCATATCCATCATAAGCTAGGTAAAAGTTAAGCCAGTTTCTGCTGTCCTGTACGTTATCTAAATAGCCGGCGAACGCCTATTTGGCGTAGAAACAGTGTAAGCTCTATACAAGTGAATCGAAAAATCACCTCAGATTTAACGAATCACTGGGGCAAACTATGCTCCTGAGAATGAATCAGCAGTCGGTTGCGGACTTGAGCGAGTTACGGAAGACATTTGTCCCTCACAGCGCGCACCCGTTCGGAGAAAGACAAACGTACCGAACTTCCTGAAACTTAGCATCAGTACTAATACAACAGATTCTTCATTCGGAAATTGGAGACTGCTAAGGATAGGCTAGAACTTTGGCTAGGGGCAGCTGTTTGGAGAGGCAGTGGGCTGAACTATCCTCATCTGGCACAGAAAGTTTTCTTTTCGTCTTCCTTCGCCTTCCGCGCGTCGTCTGGCTAAATGAAGTAGTTTGTTTAATGAGTCAGATTTTCTCTTTACATCAGTCCTAACTGATCGAACACGCCAGATAAACAGGTAAGATGATGCAGTGCTCTGCCTAGTCGAATATATCAACGCTCCGATGAAATACCGGTATCAGTACAGGCTAGATATTTCTAAATCATTTGGCATTAGACCTACAGCGTTGCAATACATCGAACAAGAGTTACGGTAGAGAAAATAGTGCCAAATTATAATAGTAGACGCGGTAAATGTAAAAATCATATAATAATACGACATAAACCAGGTATCACTGCACGATTTATTAGTACGCTGTGTCGCGTCAGATCCGTCTGAGCAATTCAGTATCCAGACGTCAACGCTACAGATGTAAGTTAATTAGCATTATGGAACAGCAAATTGAAAAGATCATAATAGCGTTATTGTGATTAACTAGCTAACGAAATTCATTATCGATAGAAAATGAGGCCAAAATAACATTGGTTCCTGCTAGCAGCAGATATGTGTGCCTGCAGGCCCGAAATTCACGCCACGCAACGTCGTACGTTTTGCCCCAGCTAATTATTGTATAAAATTAGTTAACAAGGTACATTATATTTAGTAAAAAAAAACGCGTCAGACATTGTGTACGACATTCTTCGTTGAGAGATTAATTGAAAATTACTGGTCTGATGGAAGATGTGGTTTGCAGTCTAAAGACGCTGCCTTGTCTAATGTATCGTCTGGTATGTTACTGTTTTTGATGGTGTTTCCGTTCGGAGTAGCGGCCCAAGCAAATCATTATCAAATGCTAAATGTACCGAGGCGACTCTCGGCTATTTTGTCATTTCTACACTTTGAAGTCTGATTAGTTAAATCAAAGCTTCAAGCAGCCGCTGGAGATGATTCCGGGCATGGAAATCTGTGTTCGATTCGAACCGGTACATCTTGATAAATAAATTAATTAATTTAGCTTGACTAGTTTATGGTGGGCTCGGCTTTTCGATTTCACGACTGTTATTTACGTTACTATAGGCCAGGCAAGATACTAACCACCGCCTGTTTTAATATACGCAAGAACGTTAGGGTGTACACACGACAACCCGTACCACACAAATTCCGCTACCTTTGATCAAGCCAATTACCTCCTATGGGGTTTCCTCAAAAATCTCAAAGCATCAAAATGTCGTTTCAAGACGTTCAATAACAACATTTTTGGAGCTCTTAAAAATGCCAGAGAGAAGTGCGGCCTAGAGAATAGGTGAACTGATTATTCTACCACGGCTGACTTTCGAACGGCTACATTGGCACCGGAAGGGGACGATAAGTAAGGAAATTTAGCGTGGAAATACAAACACTACTCATCTTGTTGACTGCATTTTCGTTGCCTGAAAATTAAGTTCGACCAATATGACTTTTTTAATAAGTTAGAATAGCGAATAAATTAAACAACCATTAATGCAGAGCTACTGTCAACATGTATGGTTGCGTCTCACATTCGCTTTGTAAGGGACACTATCCGTCGAATATTTTTTGTTATGGAAATGATTTTCATTGTGCCATTTTTTGCCAGTTATTCTATACAGTCAATGTTTGACTAGTGTGTAGGAGGTAGGTAGCAGCTTAGCTGAACGTTTAATTTCACGCTTTAAGTTTTGTAGAACTTCTGATCTACGCGTCCACACAAGTCATATGAGTCTGTCTTGAGAAAAGTGAGCTTTTTTAGCGTTTCACTAATTGGGAATACGCCTGGCGAACAGTCCAGACATTCTATTCAACGGTGGGTTCAGAGTTCAGAGAGAATATACCCAACGATGTTATGGGGTAAACTATCCCACGTTAGAGGAACCGAGTTGCGTCTTAGTCCTTCATAACCATCTAATTTGATAAGCTGGTCCATCAGGTATACGGGCTATCAAAACCTAAGCACATGACTTACGACATTGTTCAATAGATATCGTCGTTGAATTGGCATTTGTTGTTGACAAATGTGTGGCTTCATACGGACGTCTTTGTTGCTATGGTTTGTTTGTACGAAGTCTAAGAGTTGACATGATGGCAATCGCACCGAGGCGGATTGTTTTAACTCAGAAGAGAAACCTCCTAGTGATGTCCTGGGTGCACAAAATGCGGTCAGCAGCAGTAACTAAGAATACAGCTACGAAAATCAGTTTGGGTTGGCTATAAATGGCTTAAGCGACTTAC